CACTTGGCAGAGCTCTAACAATGACTGTGCTTTTGACTCCTTGGAAGTGGCCATGTGTGGGGGTCTGAATGCTCTATCAGAGGAAGTAAGACCTCAGAGTTTTAGTATCAGAGACTCTGTCTCCAATATTCCACTTGAGGAGATGCCCCCTCGGGTTTCGGACACAATTCCCGACCAAAGGAAACAAAAAGACAGCTCGATATACCTGGAACCAGACACAACACAGAATCCATCCTCAAGGAAAGATGCCGGCAGCATCTCAGTGCCATTAGTTGAAACTCACCTGGAAAAAGCTGAACAAAACAAGCATCTCAGTTCACTAGATAAAGCCAGATCCATATATCCTACTCCTCTAGAGTGTCAGACAATCACGCCAGAGAGTGATACAGCATTTTCTTTGCTACATGGATCCTTTGGTTCCTTTACTCCCAAGTGCAAATCAAATGAATCCCAAGCAAGTAGAGTTTGTCAAGGCAAGATGGAAAATACTGGTTCTCGGTCAGAACTTGGGGTGGTGAAGTGTCAGAGCAAAGGCCAAAGAGAAGGCGATACCTGTCAGGTGACTCAGAGACTTGTTGACGAACCAAAGTGTAAAGATGCCTTTAGAGGACAGCAATTTGTTGGAAGTAACTCAGGGGAAGATGATGAGGACAAAAAAGTGGAGGTGAAAGCAAAAAAAAGGGGAGTGGAGAAAGAAAAGAAAAACAAAAGGGAAAGAAAGATCTCTCCTGCAAAGAAATGCCAAGAGCACTATGTTTGTCACATCCCAAAGGGGGAACTTTGCACAGATAAACCAATTGCTGCTAAGAAAGTGGGGAGAGGGAAGCAGAATAAACACAGGACATCCCAGACAGGCAGATATACTGACTGTAGCCCTGAAACTGTTGATGATCCAAAAAAACCTCTTACAATAAATCCCGCATCAGATGGATCGACAAAAGGGATCACGGAGAATTCTAGGAAGGCGGGTAGAAAGGCGAACCACAAAGCGTCATTGTCGGACTGTGACCAGAGGACATCTGGGACAGATAAGGCTGCATCTCTATCACAGATGCAGCGAGATAACAGTCCCAGCCTTGACGCCAAAGGTGACGGAAACGGCATCTCTACCACGCGTGGCCCAGAAAACCTCAATGTTATGTTGGCAATGAACCAAGAATTACATCAGAAACAGGAAGTGCTTGATAACAGACCCCTATCTGATAGTCAGAGAGGTCTCACAGTGGATATCAACGACAACAACATAGATCCAGGCCTCAGCCCACCCTCTAATGATACCATATCATACTCTCTGACTCCATTGTCTCCCTCACCGCCTCCAATTTCCTCCTCCTCTCCACTGCCATGTGCCTCAACAGAGCCAGATGATGATCTCCCTACACCTGTGCAGGAATCCCAACCTGTCCTATCAGCCCAGCAAAAGCCCTCTCTGTCCATATGCCGCACGCACCCTACACTTTGCTCTACCTCTCCCACGACACAAAAAGGCCCCGAGTCCCAATTTCTACCTAACAACAGCCTCCAAGAGATGAGCGTTGTCTTTCCTGCATCAGCCGCATCTACCACAAGTGTCTCTCCACCCTCATTCTCCACTGCCACGTTGTTGAGCCTGTCTCAGCCTACCCAGGAGTCGTCTTCACCTGGGCCTGGGACTCTACATTCACCATGTTTTCCAGACTCTGTATCCCGTCCACAGTCTCAGCAAAATCTCAACATCCAGTCGCACAAACAAATGAAGCAAGGTTGCACGTGGAGCATACAAGATCCGTGCAGAGGTGAGTAAAGAAACTATTGCTTATTGAGAATGAGCTTATCTATCCTTTTTGTTATAGTCTGTTGTAACTATCTATTTTTGTTGACATGGTTTGTGTATTTCCTAAAATAAATATCATTCAATTTCAATGTGCTCTCTCAAAGGTCCCAGTTTGGCTGAGGAGGAGACAGATAGTGAGGACGATAGTGAGCGGCCTCGACGCGGTCACAGATACCAGGCGAGAGCGGTGGCAGGAAACAGAAATGGAGCCATGCACGGAGAGTGTGGTCCATCCAATCAGCGGGAAATACAGCCTTTCTCTCCTCACATGTCCAACAGACAGTCAGGCTGTCCAATCAACCACAGCCATACAATGGCAGAAGAGATCAACCTTTCCTTCAAAAACAATTGTGAGTTGTTTCTGACCTTCCATTGGAAATAAGATTCCTTGTATTTTTTTCTGTCTTTTCTTACAATACTAAACCTACAGATTCTATTATTATTTGTTCCATCTACATGCGTTTGAATATAATTTGACAATATATGAAAGAATAGCTTGTAACAATAGATAATAACACAAGAGATATAATTCTGGATTACACAGTTCACTGATGGAATTATGGATGAATTATGCCGTGTTGTTGCCAATAACACCCTGCAAATAATGCATAGCACCACATGGTACAGACATACTATGTGATTACACATATTTTCTGTACACTAAGGCCTTCTGATTTCTTAAATGCCGATGAATTTCAGGGGCGACAAAGATAACATAGCCTTCACTTACATGTGGCTTGAATGTGTGCTTGTATAGGTTCCATAATGGCTTCCTGTAATGAGTCTGAAAGCGAGGGGTCAGTGCCTGAGCTAGAGGAGCCAGAGCGGAGACCATCAGAGCCCCAGGTGTGTCCACCCCTGCTGCTTTATTGGAAACCGTCCTTTCCTTTACGAGGAACCTATATCTTGTTATAACACATGAAACCCAAGATACTTTATGACACATTGGAATTACATTGAGATTACATTGACGATTATAACTTTTTTTTTTTACAGATTCCAATACAATGGGTTATTAAGCATGTTTGCAGTGAAAAAAACTAAAATGTGTGTTATGTGGAGATGGCTATGGAGAACATGAATCATGATTTGGAGGGTTGGCATATAGGAAATTGTGGTCGGATTCAAATTATTTTGTGCTGAAATACCACTTAAATCTTGACTGGATCACATTTGGTGATACTAACAAAATTGATAAATGGAAACGATTATAATTAAATATTATACTTAAATAACTGATATTTTCTTTTTTTTTCAGTCTACCTCCTTTTCAGACGATGGGCTAAACAGACCAAAACAGAGTCGCAGTGAGAAGAAGGCTCGCAAGGTCAGAAAGATGGTTGTATAGAAATAAATGAATAAATCAATTTGAGTGTAAATGACACCAGTGTTTATTTTTTGTTCTTTTGTCTTCATTCCTGACCATCTCTGCTGCTGGATGGGTTGTGTAGGCCATGTCTAAACTTGGTTTGAAGCCGGTCCATGGTGTGACCAGAATCACAATTAGGAAGTCCAAGAGTATCTTGTTTGTCATCAGCAGACCAGATGTGTTCAAAAGCCCTGCATCGGACATTTACATTGTTTTCGGAGAGGCAAAGGTAAGTCTTATATTCAAGCTCCAGCACATGTATTGTACTGCCTCTCAACCTCTCCTCTCCTGCCAGATTGAAGATCTGTCTCAGCAGGCTCACAAAGCGGCTGCAGAGAAGTTCAAGGTGCCGGTGACCTCTTCTCCCTTGGCCCCACCTGTCCCGCCCAGCCTCACCATCAAGGAAGAGAGTGAAGAGGAGGAAGAAGAGGTGCTTACTGTGGGCACCATTCACCCTCACTACCTATCACATAGCTCATAGAGTTCTGTGGAATATTTTGTTCTATATTGTCAACTTTATCCCTCTCGTCTTTTTTCTTGATTTCTCTACACCAGGTGGATGTGGGAGGCCTTGAGCAGAGGGACATCGAGCTGGTGATGGCTCAGGCCAACGTGTCACGGGCCAAGGCCGTCCGTGCACTGAAGAACAACAAGAATGACATTGTGAATGCTATCATGGTGAGTGGGAAGGAGGTAGTGAAGGAAAGAAGAGGGTAGAGGGAGGGCAGCTGGTGAACAAAATGATGAGTCATGGCCAGTGGGCAGGAGGATTTGGGGGGGTTGTAAAAGAGAGAGAGGACTAGTGACAAGTAGAGATTCCCTCTAGTTACTAGAGTCTAGTAACTGAGCAACCTTGACATTTTTTGGGCAATCAATGCAACTTTATGGCCACCAGGTGGCGGCAACAGCTCATACTGAGGAAATGGAGTTATATTAGTGACGCAGTTGATTTTTTCGTTGATGGGGTGCAAAGATGAAACTGCCTTTAGATCACTAGAAAAAGTCACTTTTTATTCATGTAGTGTCACATCTAAGGGCGCTTATGTCTTTATCTCAATTGCTTGAAGACTCAATTGTTTTCTCTTCTGTTGCTCTGTCCGTCTTCCATTTAGGAGCTGACCATGTGAGCGGTGAGGACGATTTGACTCCTAAACCCCTCCTCCAGCCTATAACGCCTGTATGCCACTGACTCTTCTGTATCGCTGCTACTGTATGTTGCATCCCCAATATCTGCTAAATAAAGTCTGTTTCATCGTGAGCTGTGACTGCATTGTAAGATTGATTGCGGATCCTTGGTGGTTTGTTTTAACATTCGGATACTTCCAATTTACCTCTGATTGAAACCGGCTAGCACTCACATAAAGAAACAACAATACAGCAAATGAAAAACACTAAAAAGTGATTCAGTGATTATCTATATGGTCTAAATACACTTTTAATGTGAAAGGCTGTTCATCATTACAGGCTTTTTATGTAGCAGCTGTCAAGGAATGGAGTGGAATTGGAGAAAACACTATTTCTGGTAGTGGCTTTTTATATATGCTGCATTGTGACATAACGATGCTGCTGATGTTTGGCAGAAGCAGTCGGCAGATTTCAAAGACTGCTAAACTGTTTTAGGGACACGGGGGATTTATATAAGTTTCACATTATTCAGACCTTTAATACCAACCTCAAAAATAGCTCGTTCCTAAGTGTTAACACTATAAAACCCATGCTCTTTAGAATCACACAGACAACTGGATGTGTCCTTATGAAACCAAACACTTATTTTGTTCATTTTCTCACTATAACGTCACACAATAAACATAACTCAAGCATGCTCAGACAGATGCCAAATGCATTTCTGACAATCTGTCAACTTTATTGATCAAATCTGGCCGGCTACAGGGATCTGCTCTGACAAGTTTTGCCAATAACACAAACCAATACCAAGAATGTTGATTCATCAGCTTTCAACTATGCAAATACATATAAAGGTGTAAAGCCTATCCCTTTGACTGACTTAGCTTCCATTCTTCCATAAATACAGACGTGAAGCTCTAATGTATTTCAGTGCGTGAAAATATTTAAAAAAAAAAGGTATTTGCATTGATTAATTAAATACTGTCACAGGCAATTTGAATGGTCCCTGAAAACGTTTTGTTAGAAATGTCAAACAGTAGTGCTTCTTTTATGCTAAACTGTAGCACACACGGGTTCCTTTTAAAAATAAAAGAAAACATGGACTTTAAACCATCTTTACTATGCCAAGAGTGGTGCTCTCCTGAGTATTTATAGCAGTGCAGGCAGATAACTCCAGACTCTGCAGTCAGGTGTTGTGGATCTATACTTCGTTAGGTGGGGGTTTTAGCCGGGAGGACGTTGTTCTCAAAGTGTCCCTGGTTAGTAATGTTTCCAGCGGGGAAGTATCGGGCCACCACAAAGGAAGAACCGTCTGATGCAGTGGCCTTACCGACCCCCAGCTTGTTACTGCTCTTCCACACCATCGCTGTGAAATGGCCTGTTGCGAGCAAAATGAGAAAGAAGAATTGGAAAGAAATAAAAGGCAGAAAAGCAAAGCAGAGAAACAGACTGTGTGACGCGTTCAAAGCTGAGTGCAGTTCCTCTAAATATTTACAGACCAAGGAATGTCAATTCCTGTCCCGCTCATCAGTCCGTAACCTTGTTGTGTACTTTCTTCTTTTCTTTCTCTTAAAGGATACTTGTCATTCTCAGTGTGAAATACTATAATTATCTTCAAAGTGATTGCTTTTATGTGTGGTTAAGTTGAACAGAGACACTATTGGGCTATTGGGGAAACCGTCTGAAGGAAACAGCCCAGGCTGGAAATGACTTGAGGACTGAGGACTGATACATTGGACTGTGGGTTTCCCACGGCTGGTCACTGAGTCACACACAGGCTGAGGTGTGACATCGCCAGGGGAATAACGACTCTGCCCATGCCTGAGTGAACACGACACCGAGACAGAGAAACTGCCCAAGATAAAATAAAACTAGAATGCAATGAATGCAATGCAGAACTTTTCTTAATTTTCTTCTTTTTTTTTTTGGTTCCATTCAATTTTAAAGAATTAGAATTTCGATAGCAAAATCCAACGATTATTTAGGATGATCCTTGTGTAGAGTGTTGAATTTTAACGCTGACTGAAACGTGAAAAGAAGTGCGGGGATCCTCTCATGTCTAAATCTCACCAGTGGCGGAGGAGAATCCAGGGCGGTTGAAGTTGTACTGCTTCACCTCGTCATACCAGCGGTCTGCAACATCCTTTCCTGCACGTGCGCAGAACGAAATGTAACATCAACTTCAAGAACATGTAAATCGCTTTTGTGTTGTAAATATTGCGTTATGGGAAAGCCGGACCGTTGAGCTACAAATGTTCTCAGGACACATTTTACGGTTTACGATGCTGAACTTTCTGTCACCCGTTGCTGCACTTTAGTGCTGCGCTGCAAGAGATGTTTTATGAATCACACCGTCCTGCGCTGACATATTTTCGGAGTGAGTCATGGCGTATGTGCTCTCAAACGCAGTGTGAAGTGAAGGGGAAATAGATCCCAGCTGTTCACTTTCCAGGGCAGGACACTCTGCTTGAAGCCACATAGACCGAACCCGTGTGTATGTATGGAGAGATGTGTATCTCAGGAGGAAATACACACAAAATCGTTCAGTAGTATGAACAGAATACGCAGAACCAGTCAAAAGTTTTGATACACTTTCTCATTGTGTTGAATAAGAAACCGTGTCCAAACCTTTGACTGTTTATCTGTTGATACCTGATTGGTCATAGGAGGCCCACGCCAGGTTCTCTCCACAGCTCCCTCTGCTCGACTCCACACTGTGTTTCAATATCCGGGTACTGGCCAGACTTTCAGCATAACTGTGAACAGAAAATTAAGGAAGTTGAGAAAAGCAGATTTCATTATTATTTTTTTAGGTTGGAGTCCTGAAACAAATTGCACACATGTAATTGTGAGATATCCACTGCATGTGTTGTATACTTGAGATTTAGACTTTCCACGCCTCAGAGATAAACAGTGAAATAAATGGAAAATCCTCACCTCAGATGTTTTATGTGTACAGAAGACTCAGAAACCATTTCCTCTAAACACCCTCTTTTATTAGTAGGGTTGATATTATTATGTTTAATGTAATATTTCCGTTAAATTCCATCTGTGTATGTTGTATTAAAGCAGTAGTGGCGCAGTGACATCATTCTCTACTGTCACGCACCAACCGCCAAGACAAATTCCTTGTATGTCTGACATATTTTGGCAATAAATGTTTCCTGATTCCTGATTCACTCTAATTTACAATCTGCGGCCTCCTGCAGTGTCTATTTAAAAGACTGTATTGACAAGTATGCGCTAGAATCCTGTCCTTAATGAAGATTAATATCGAAGTCAGCTGTTTTTCCTGACAGCATTGATCAATTAGCATTTACTCAAAGCATCATATTTTCAACATGACTCATGTAACCATCACCAGGGAAACAAACCAGCGTCCTGTTCTTTAATTCTAAGGCTGGATTTGCCATTGTTATCCACAGCAGCGTGACAATGACAATGGTTTACGTGGCCATTCCTATCGAGGTTTACTTATTTGATTTGTGTGTGAATGAACCCACCGGGTAGCTTCTCTGCTTAACTTGCTGCTCAGCTTCATTGGAGGAGCCTGGTGTTTCCTCCTGAGCTCATTATGGCACCGCAGCACCTCCTCGGAAAACTGCTTGGAGGCTGACCAACAGGGAGGAGAGAGGAGACGCGGTGACGCGACGTGGCGCTGAATAGAAAACCCCCTCAAACTGAACTGTGAGTTCAACACCGGAGCTCCAGGACAGATGATGGATCAGAAAACGTCATCCACATCACCCCCCGCTGCCTGGTGCCAATCACTCACTGGCCTTTTCAGTCACACAATCTCTCCAGTGCTCAGACAATAGGCCCATTGAAATAGACACACACACACACACACACACACACACACACACACACACACACACACACACACACACACACACACACCCCCACACCCCCACACCCACACACCCACACAATGCTACTGCTGGCTAGCAGCCGGCCTCCACTCAGCATGCTGCAAGACGAATGTTAACTAAGGATCACTAAAAGCCCTTTTCATATAATTTCTTTAGCGGTGCAGTATTTGGTCTATCCTACTTTTCAAAGATGGCAGCTTACAAACGCAGGCAGTAAACAAGGAAGCCCACACACACACACACATTCACAGACACACTCACACACACACACACACATACTCACTCAGGCCAAACTGATACAATCACAGTTAATATCCTCAGGGTGCAGTTTTCACTTACCTGATTTTCCCATGGTGCTGACGCAGGAAGCCTTCAGTAAGGTAACTAACAGGCTTAACCCTGAACGAAAGACTTGCTTTCGGCTGCTGCTCTCCTCCCCACTGCCTCCTTCCCCTGTGCTCCTCTCTCTTCCTATTTCAACGTCTATCTAATGCAGACACTTTGAAGCAGCTAATACTGTATTTCAGGGCCTTCCGCCGGTCTCACTCCACTTACAGGACGTTGTGTTAAAAGTTCCTCTTCAGCTATTTTTCTGGCTGTGGAAAATAATTGCTTAACATGCTTCTTCCTAGAGGTTTGTTTCACTTGACGGAGCGTAACCTGCCTGTCCCTCTCGAACTCACAGACACACAAACACTTCTATCTGCATGCTCTGTGGTTGTGGCTCACAGCAGCACACACCCACCTCATGTCTTCACATTATTCCCTCGAATGAAAGGGGAGCCCCAGCAGACGTTGGTGACATCATCTCCGTGAGACACACGCCCATATATGGCTCTGACATAGTCAACTTGTTGGACTCTATAACTTGCTGTTAGCGTTCATACTGCAGGTTTAAGCCGTGCATTAACTAATGCAGATGTCAAGGGGATTCAGTCTTACAGGAACACGGGATACTTTCCAGCACTATCCTTCTGTTTCTCGAGTCATGTCTGGATCAATAAGTAATCCCTAACACACCCAATGGTAAAACAAGTGACCTCCTTTAACCTCCACCATAGAAGAAAAAGCCATGGTTGAACACTTTGCCTACTGTAGTTGACAGGGGAAGAGGCAGAATCCCCATTCATCATGTTGCAGAACAGGTTTCCATGATCGGATCCCTCTGTGCCTTAATGGTATTTCTGAATTGAGATATCTATCATTTAATGAATAAAAAAGAAGACTCCTGCTCTAACAAAGTCAAGGATAGTGTGCAACCGAGCCTCTAAATGTACCACCTCATCTTTTACTATAAACATCTCATAACTCATAGCTTTTGAAATTGTTTGAATGAAATTCCACCTTCTAAAACTAATAGTACAACATTGTGTCGGAACCAAAATGATTCTCAATGGTTCTTGGGAATGCAGAGCTCGATTGTCAATCTCCCAGTTGTGAATGTGAGTCTATCACGGCTTGATTAAATCAAGATCAATGAACACACAAACAGGAACGGTTAAAACATTTACATAGACATCAGTGATCACCAAAGGATGAATACTTACTCTAATGATCCCTCGACCTTTCCTCTATGCCTCATTTGTGCAAAACCTCATTACTTTGGTTCATGATAACAGTCACATTCCTAACATAGTTTGTCCCTGAACGTCATCTTGTAAAATCTTGTATGTGCTTTTGTGTGTGAGCCACTGTAAATAAAAAATACCTCACATTTTGGTTAATCCAACATTAAGTTTAAAGATTCCTGCCTCATAATCAATATTGTACTGTTAAATAAGACAAATCTTTCCTCAAAGGCCAGTCATTGAGTTTTGATTGATTTATTTCAACAAAAGAAACCAGCATTATTATTTTAAGTAGGACTACAGTTTTGCCACAAGGTGGTACTGCTAGCAAAGACACCGAACAAGGCCATACTTGCACTATTAGTCCCAGTGAGTGCAAGTAATGACATCTTAGTTCCATAATACGAGCGGACATGATGGGATTCATGTGAAAAGTCAAGCCACTTGATTTCTCATTAGCTGTATAGTGCTATCTTAACAAATTGATTTCCTCCTTGGTTCCTCCTCCCATCTGCATAGTGATGGGACAGCTGGAAGAAGACATTTACATAGTGGTGTCACGCCACTGAGACTTCACAACCATACATCTTAATTCATGCTAATTGAGATAGCTGCGGAGTGTCGCGTGTATTCGCGGCGTGAGTGTGTCTATTTGAGTGTGCGCACGTGCACGCGCACTCGAAGGGGTAGTGATGTGATTTATAGGCGAGAACCCCTTTTAGAGGGACAGCGCAGACATCGATCCATGCAGATATTACATAATTTATCTCTGCACATTGGCTATATCTGCCATACTTATTGCTTGGCTACCCTCCCTGCAAGCCGCGACATCGTTCCTCAGGTTCTCATCCCCTCCACATCAATTTACTTGTCTCTCAACTCCTCCCTTCCTTTCCTCCAATCTGAAATTTTCATTTCTTGCTTTACCTTAAGCCCCGAATGAAAATCTTCCAGCGGATCCCTTATACAGACAAAGGAGCACCACATTTTGTCTGGACCAGAAATCATTTTCCACTCCTGTCATGACTGAACTGGATGTCGATTTATAGCAACAGAAATGTGAAATAACTCTAACTGGGGCTGTAAGTGCACTTTGTTGCATATAATTCCTCTTTAGCAGTCCCAGGAGGAAGGTGAGGACTTTTTAATAACTCCTTCCATTCACCCCCATCCTCATTAAGAGGTCTAGTTTAGTGAAAATGGAAAGATATACTAAGGGGGTGTTGAGTGGATTGATCTCAACGTAGAGGAAGATAAGTGCGAGGCCTACACTTTCTTGAAGGAGTTGTTGGAAGCTCTCTCTCCAGAGCTCTGCTACAGAATTTGACAAATCAAGAAGCATTTTATGGTGTCATTAGTGTAACTGTTCCACCGAGGACAAATGATTCTGCGGGTTAAGAGGAGTTAATCACCTGCCAATCCAACCTTGTCTAGACTCCCCTACGCATGAGGCTCTATACAAATCTCATCATATTTGCGGAGCCTTCAATTAAGCAGATACAGGGAAGGAGTGAGAGGCAGAGAGGAACAGGGTGAGTTCAGGGCAACGGGAAGAAAGACAGAGACAGATGGAGAAGGAGACAGTGAGGAGAACGACAGGACGACTCCTGTCTGACACTAAGCAGCAGAAATGTAAGGTCTTACTGTAAAAGGCCATCGCAGTCAATAAAGTTCGTGATGTGCTTAAAGCAATTACTGTGTCCGGAGAGGAGCAGAGTGCATGCAGGATATTAACCTCAATAACCCGCTCTATCTGGTCCCTAATTAAATTACGCTCACATCCTTATTCTAATACAGACACTCATATACCAGTGCACAGTCACACTCATGCAGCCATACATTGATGCACGTTAACATAGTATGTAAAATATGAAGAAAAAAAGATGAGTGAGCGATAGATGATGATGTCATTATGTGCAAATATTGTTTGACCGTGAAAGTGATTGACACGTTTTGGTAGCTGCTGACGTGTCCTAACATATTGTAGTTTTCCACCCATCTATTTAAAAACATGGATGTATAATCATCTGACAGTTTTGAAGTTCTCTCATTCTCAGTAATTAATTCTTAGGGTTTCATAGCTTCCTATAAATTGTTGTAAAATGAATTAATTGTAGGCATAACGTCATAAAGAGAGCCCTGGAAAAGACAGCAAGCGATTGATTTTATACATTTTGAGTATAAAATAAACAATGAAGGCATGTTTACTTAGGTTCATAACATAACATAATCACATAACATATTAACATAGTCTCAAAGTTTTTTTTCCATTACGTTTTTTATTACATTAAAATTTAAGGAAACCTCCAGGAAATCTTGAGAAAAAACAAGCACTGTAGGCTTGGTAATCCGTACTGACATTTTGATCTCTGCTTCTGTAGCCCTTCTTCCTTTTCATGTATATTAGTCAAATTTAAATAGCTATGTCAAAATAGTGTAACTAATAAGCTCTTCAAGTATATTGCTGTAGTTCTATTACAAAACATTTGCCAGGGAGAGCCAGGCCAGAGAGAATTCTCGACACTAAGGATGATAATTATTGCTTCTGAAAATAACTAACTGCCCTTAAGCATTATTACATGAGCCTCCGAAGGAGCTTTTCTCAGCATCTGGGGTTGCTTCTATGTTAGAAAGGGGCAGCAAACAAGTTTAGTATTTCTGGATGCTGCCCTTTTGGCAAATTTCCGCTGTTGAGTTTGTATTATAAAGTAATATTTTCTGACCTTCCTTTAGGAATTGTAAGCTTTGGGTGAACATAAAACAAATCTGTCAGATAATAATTGTGTGCATGCTGGTGCTTATGAATATGTGGTTGTGTGTGTGTGTGTGTGTTTTGCAGGTGGGCATTGTTTCCCGTGCTGGAGAGGACTCCAAGGCTCAGTCGAGGTGATACAGGAGGATAAAGTCTGGAAAAACGATGTTAGCCTATCAGCAGACTGTCAACCACACACACACACACACACACACACACACACACACACACACACACACACACACACACACACACACACACACACTTTCAAGCGCACACAGACGCATACTATACAGCCATCAACGACAGAGCTGGATGTAAAGGGAAAGATATCTATGTTGGATGTTAAGTAGCATAATAAAGAATGCACATTATTATACCTCACGTAAGCCTTGTCACATGATCAACAATTTGTCACTCTGTATGATGAGAAGAGTTTGAGTATTGGGAGCTGGGTTAGTATGCTGGTTTAAACCCAGCAGGAATTACATATTAAACCACATTACAGCAAGTAATCACTTTTGCAAATGTTATACATTTACATACACAAGTCCCCGAGGTATTGGAATATCATCCAATGTTTATGAATATTTCATGATGGAAATAGTTAACCCTGAGCAGAGCTTGAAACACTCATCAATGCACATTTAAAGAAATATCCCAGTATGTTAACTGGAAGAATATGATGATCTTGATCAGTATTTGTGTAGCCGCGCCTTATGACACTGAAGAGAACTAATAGAAAGATGCTGCATTTACAGCCTGCCGGTGCCATATACACTATAATTGCAGTGATGTCTGGGAGGACGTGATCTTTGAAATTATCCTGCCACTTACCAATAATTATAAAGACTTGTTTATCGAAGAGGGCTCGAACTGATAATTGCAACTCATGACATTTTGCCAATGAGGCCATGTTTTATAGAGATGTTTTCAATGTATGAATCCAATAAAGTATTGCATACTAATTCAGCCTTAGGATTCTGCATAGAGGGAGATGTGAAGTCGACAGGCTGAAATTGGCAGAATTTTATTTACATGAAGGACGCAGACAAGGCTCGAGCGTGAATGTGGCCGTCTCAATGTGTCCTTGGGTGTACTCTGTATTTACAATGAGCTAAAAGTGGAAGTCCGAGACATTATAGAGCAACCACTATAAAGCATAAATTACAGAATGATTATTTTGATGTTCGCCGTGAGAATTTCTTGCTAGTGTTAAATTGATCAAGTCACCAGACAGTCTACTTCTGCTTTCTTGCGTTCACTTCTCACGTCTTCTTTGTGGAACATAAAAGGCTAGTGAGAGCAAACAAAGATGATTAATATGAAGTGAAAATGCATGACCGCAGCCTTGGAGAGTATAAGGACAACTCTGTAGGGACCATTTGTGTGTGTGTGTGTGTGTGTGTGTGTGTGTGTGTGTGTGTGTCTCTCTGAGCCAAAATGAGGTTGGG